GTTTCTGCCTTGGGGTCCTTCATGAGTCCACCCTCCTCTCCAGTTGTCCTTGTCAGCTCCTCCATCGCCAGCCTTCCCAAGGACTCCCTGCCCTCCCACCAGCCCCGTTCTATCCTGGCCCTGCTGGCAGGGAGGCAGTTCACAAATCTTATCATTTGACCTGCTAAGAATTCTCCAAGTGCACCCTCTCACCTGCAGGATAAAATCGAAGCTTCCAACCCCTGGTGATCTGGCCCCAACTGCCTCAGCTTCTACCAGGTCAGGCTCCCCCTCCTCATCTCCCCCATGACCTCATAGTCCATCTCCCCGTCCTGCCCTCACCCCAGCCTATACGCCACTCCAGCCACTGCTCTGACACTGCAGACGCCCTCAGGGCCAGGGTTCCAGCACTGAGTCCTCCGAGTCCTCCGTGTCTGAGATTCTTCACTCTCATGCATCGTCTCCCAGGTACATCTCCACCACCAACTCCTCCCCTTCTCGGCAAAAGCCCTCCCCCACCCTTGACTTTCCCCAAATCTAACCCTGCTCTGCCCAGCAGGGCTTGCTCGCCACGAGTGGCTCCCCAGCACTGGAAATGCGGCTGGTCTGACCGGAGACATGCTGCACGTGAACAATACATGCACGACTTCCAAGACATGCTATGTGAAGATAATGAAAAAAACTGAACGTTTTACTTGGACTACCTGTTGACAAAAAGATGCATAAGGTTAAATTAAAAGTATTACTAAAATTAATGTCACCTGTTTTCTTTCTGTAATATTTTTATTTTTTAATATTTATTTTGTTCATTTATTTATTTGGCTGCACTGGGTCTTTGGTTACAGCGTGTGGGATCTAGTTCCCTGACCGGGGATTGAACCCAGGGTCCCTGCACAGAGTGTGTGGAGTCTTAGCCACTGGACCACAAGGGAAGTTCCTCACCTGTTTCTTTTTTTACCTTTTTAGATGTGGCCACCAGAGCAGTTTAAATTACACCTATGGCTCATATGTATTTCTACTGGACAAAGTGAGTCTAACCTTTAGTCATTCTTTCGGTCCTGGCATGAGTAAAACCTCCTTCAAGATGCCCTATCTTTGGTCTTTCTAGTGTTTTGGGGGTTTTCTTCCTACATTACTCAGCATATGGGACCTTAGTTCCCCAATCAGGAATCGAACCCACACCCTCTGCATTAGAAATGCAGAGTCTTCACCACTAGACCACCAGGGAAGTCCCCCCATCTTTGTTATTAATGATCTTTTCTGCACCTTGAAATCCTATAATGGAGTCTACCATATAAGCCACTGTCTAAGTACATAACACATTATATGCTTACTAGTAAATATTTTATATCTATTGCTCTTGCCACATCAATGCCATGTCTAAACCCTATTTAATAGTAGGCACTCAACTTGTTATTAGGCGTGGAATCTCTGCAGCAGCAAGAGAGCAATACACAGTATTTTAGTTTTGTTTTTGTTTACTTCTTTCCTGAGGATGATTTCAACAATGTAAGGAGACCTAGGAGTTGGGAATCGAAGAGCTCTTTGTTCTTCCTCCAACTCAGATAATATATTCACAACATTTAGTGCCTGGTTTGGCCAAGGAGCCTGCCTGGTCTCAGGTCTCCCCCATCCTTGAATATGAAGTTAAGAATATCAGGCTAATCTATTACAGCCAAGTCAAAGTAGCTAAGTTAAGTTCTAACTGGAGTCATTATGTGATACGAAGAAATACTCTCTTTTCACAGCTAACTGTATCTTTCTCAGCCAGTTGTCCTAAATACAGACTACTCTTTTTGAAGAGGGAAAGGATCCATCACAATTACTCAAACAAGAAAGGAAAAAGCACAGCCTATCAAAAGGTTTGTCCTAGACTATTAATGACAGGAAAGAAGTGATGAGAGAGGAAACTGTAAAATGTCTACTCGGAGCTGAAGTAGCTCATACAGTACACTCACAATAACCTTTACGAGACAGACATTACCACACCCACTTCACAAAGTGAAGAAACTGAGGTTCACAGACAGACGGGCTGAGGAACTGGCCCAGGGCCATGCAGCCGCAGGCTATAGATCCAGGTCAGCGGTATCAACTTTGTATTTAAAAACTAATGTGGCCTTATCACTTGAAAATACGTGAAAAGCAAGAGAATTATCTAAATATACAGATAAAAATACAACAAGAATTTTGATTCATTTCCTTCATATGATTTTTTCTTTGCAAATATATCTATTTTTTTTCCCTGCTAGTTTATTGAGACATAACTGACATACAGCACTATGTAAGTTTAAGGTCTATAACATAATGATTCGACTTACATATACCATAAAATGATTATCACAGAAAGTTCAGTGAACACCCATCATCTCAGAGAGATAAAAAATTAATGAAATAGGAAAAATGTTCTTTCTTTTGATGAGAATTCTTAAGATTTACTCTTGTAACAACTTGCATATGTAACACAGCAGTGTTAACTACATTTACCACATTGTACATTACATTCCTAGTACTTATTTATTTTATTACTGGAAGTTTGTACTTTCTGACTGCATTTATTCAATTATCTTCTCCCCCCACCCCCCCGTCCTGCCTCTGGTAACCACAAATCTGGTCTCTTTCTCTTTTTCTATTTTTTTTTAATTTTTAATTTTTATTGGAGTATAGTTGATTTACAATATTGTGTTAGTTTCTGCTGTAGACCAAACTGAATCAGCTATACGTATACATATATCCACTCTTTTTAAAATTCTTTTCCCATATAGGACATTACAGCGTGCTGAGTAGAGTTCCCTGGGCTACATAGCAGGTTCTTATTAGTTAAACTATCTTACATATGTGCTCAGTCGTGTCTGTCTCTTTGCAAACCCATGGACTATACCTCGCCAGGATCCTCTGTCCACGGGATTTTCCAGGCAAGAATACTGGAGTGGGTTGCCATTTCCTGCTCCAGGGAATCTTCCCAACCCAGGGATCAAACCTGCATCTTTTGCGTCTCCGGCATTGGCAGGCAGATTCTTTACCACTGAGCCACCTGGGTGTGTGTATGTCAATCCTGATTCAAATAGTTTCTTGATCTTGGCTAAGTCCGAGCTTTCAGATCAGAAGGTCTTTTTTTCTAAGCAGACTTTGCCATAAAGTAGCAAATCAATAGGGTATGTGATGTGGTGGGACCACTACATTGCTGTACTATTTGTCTTTAAAGCCTTTAAACCCACAGCTGTAAGCAAGAGTTTACACTAAACAGTATGAACCAGAATGCCTCAGACATGTTTACAAAAATCTAGTCCCTACAGATAAAGATTACAGTAATAACTGTAGACAATCCACAACAACAACAAAAACGGTATACATAAGGAATATGAAAGAGCCCCTCCGGGCTACAAAACTGAGATCAGATATCTCAATGAAAGGACAAAACAAAGTTCCTCAAAATGAGACAAACACTTTCAAGTGAAACCACAGGGCCTTGAAAATTATTTACTTTCTCAGAACGTAACAACCTACTATATGTCCTAAGAAACCCAACATCTAGGTTTAATGGATTCTGCCTTTGCAAAATGTAGCAAACTTAATCCTGTAGGCTTGGACTGAAGACAAGTTCAAGTTCTCTACCACAGAGTAAGTCCCCAAGCATCAGCTGCTTTAAAATACCTCTTTGCTCTGCTCTCCATTATCAAAAATGCCCCTGCAGTAGGTGTTAATCAGTCACTAAAGAGCCCCGCACAAAACGACCTGTGTGTGCCTGGTATTTCAGCACAGGAAGTAGAAAGCTCCATTTACCAAGAAGACTGCATTTCACTTTCAAAAGTCTTGAAAGCTAATCCCTCTAACAGTACCTAATTTACATTTCATTCCAAACTGACCAAGCCGGCAGTGGCATCTCAAGGAATCCGAGAATGTGAAAAACTTCACTTGGCAAAACTAGGTGTGTGGATTTTTCTTCCTTAGAGGTACTCCACAGTATAAATAGAAATCATTTGCAACTTTTAATCTCATGAACAAGAGCTTTATTTAAAATTCTCACATGTACAATGAATTCTGTTATGCCCTCTTTCCTCAAGTGACAGACACATGAAGACTTTGTGCCCTAAATCAGGCAATTTTGCTCCTTTCAAGAAGAAAAAAAGACATCTAGAAGAAACATAAAGTATCTTTTTCACAGCCCCCAAAATATACAAAGACAAGGCTGTATATATACAGTAACGGTGTTTACATTCTAAACAAAAATTAAGACTAAAGGAGGTAGGAAGAAAAAACAAATAACAGCAGAGCAAAGTGGCTACAGATCACAGGTGGCAGGTGAAGGGAGGCCTTGGGAACACCTGACACCCTTGGGGGTGAGCTTCATCCCAAGTCAAGTGCAGGCCCACCTGGGGTCTGCAGTTCCTCCACCCAACGGGCTCACAAAAACGCAAGAAGCCGCAAAACCGTCAGGGTCATCTTGACAATAAAGCATAAGCAGCCTCCTGGAACCCAGGAAAGTCACCCCTCCCACCCAACAAACACGAGGAGACCCCTTCACACCATGGACACAAAGAAACCGAGTCAGCCAGATCCATGGGAAGAGAGATGACACTTAAATTTATCCCGAGGCCATTCGGAGGCTCAGTCCACTGGGGGACCAGACTCAAAAAAAGTAAAATTAAAAGTGGCGGGGGTTGGGGGGGTGGGGGGGTGGGGAGATGACAGTTCAATTCAGCCTGCGCTGGGACCCCACTTGGGACCACTTAGGGTCTCGGACTCAAACATTAAAATTAAGAGCTGGGAGGGGAGATGACAGTTCGATGGGTGCGTGCAACGACCCCCAGGGTTTGCTAGGGAGGGGACCGTCCCGCCGCAGCCCGGCTCCGAGGCCACCCGGGGAGGGGGAGGAGTTTACAACTCGGGGGGCCGCCGAGCAAGCCGGCGGGGAAGGACGCCGGGACCCACGCGGAGGGTCTGCGCCCCCAGCCCGGCAACGCGGCCAGACGACCCCCGCCCGATCCCGGCAGGAGCGCGCCCTCGGCCGCGCCGCGCCTCACCCAGCAGCGCCCGCAGGTGCTTCAGGCGGGTCAGCACGTCCTTCTTGGGGTCCAGCACCTTCTGGGTGGACTTCTTCACATCCCCGTGGCTCCTCCGGGAGAACATCCCGCCGCGGGAAGCCGGACCCCGCCGGCGGGGCAGGAGGCGCCTGCGCCGCGCGGGTCACAGCAGAGGGTCGGGCCGGCGCGTGTCGCGCGGGCCGCTCGCCGCCCCCCTCCCTGCCCGGCAGCAGCCGCCAGCGCCGCCGCCGCTGCCTTTCCAGCCCCAGCTCCAGGAAGGAGGGGCGGGGGCCGGGCCGGCGCGGGGCGGGGCAGGAAGGCGGTGTCGACGCGAAACCCGCCGCACCGCCCCCCGCGGGAGGCGCCGGCCGCCACCACCACCCCGCCGCCTCCGCCAAGGGCGCGGCGCACCGGCGCGAGGTCCGGCCCCGCCTCGCGGGGGGCGGGCCCGCGCGCGGAGCAGGCGCCGCGAGTCACAAAGAAGGCGGCCCCCGCGCGCACACTGTCCTCCGAGCCCCGGGATGCTCCGTGACAGCGACCTCCAATCAGGCTGGCGTGCTTTCCGCGCGATCGGAGTCGGTGCTCCCGCTCAGGGCACGTTCCCCGCTTGCTAGGCCACCAGCGCTCCTGGGAAATGTAGTTCTCTAGGAGGCCGGGCCCTGAGACCGCCTCTCCAGATGGGTGCAGCAACTGCCCGACCCCCTACCTACCCCTGGAGGCCCAGGTTTCTGTACCTACAGCCTTCGGCCTGTGCGCCCACCCCAGTTCTCCCTACTGCAGCGTGAATCAAGAAACATTACAGTAGGACAACTTTCAAAGCTTTTACAATGTAAACCATCTAAGTTTTGACTTCTGAATTCACACTAGATAGTGAGGTTTCACTTGTGGCTCAGCGATGTAAAGAATCTCCTGCAATGCAGGAGACCTGGGTTCTGTCCCTGGGTCGGGAAGATCCCCTGGAGGAGGGCATGGCGATCCAATCCAGTATTCTTGCTTGGAGAATCCCATGGTCAGAGAACGCTACAGTTCATGGACTGTAGGTGGGCTACAGTCCATGGGGTCCCAAAGAGTTGGACCCGACTGTGCGACTAACACACGATGAGGAAAGGAATGGTAAACCCTTTGGCCATATCAAAATCAGAGCTCCAATTATGCACTAAAATGAACAGCTTTGGCAGAAGGGAAAGGAATGCTTAGACTCTGGGAGAGGAGGCCTCTGGTTCCTGGAACCCATCCTCACTTGGAATATGAGAGTACTTCACCCGAGGGCTCCTCAACTTCTCACCTCTTGCTTTGTAGGAAGTGCATGTTCTCTGTGTTGTGCAAGGCTACCTAGCAAAACAGTAGCAGAACCAGAAATAGAACCTGAGGGACCTGACTCTCAGGCTGAGATGCTTTTTAAAGCCAGGTGCCTGTAACCTGGGGCAAGACTTTGAGATGCAAGATGGTCTGGAGATTTCTTTCAGCTCTGTAGGGATATTTACTGCCATCTGGATCCTTTGATGCTTCAAATTTTGACCACATTTTAGTTGGCTTAAGCTGTTCAAACTTAAGCTGTTTAAAATCACGTGGTTTCCATCAGGTTGGGATAACACAACTGTCTTTTCCTCAGTCAGCTAAACTAACTGCGGGGAAGAGCCAGCAATTGACATGGCCTTGTCTCCTCATTCCTAAACTCAGTATTTGACCTTGAAAGCACTCAATAAAAGCTTGTTAAGGAAAATGGGATAAAAAGCTAAAATAGTCTTACATATTTAATCAAGGCATGCAAAAAATATCTCCTAGTTGTTAGAACCTCTATTTTTCAAGTTGTCAAATAGCACTGATAGAACTGGGATATATTCATACAAAGGAATATTACTTAGGAATAAAAAGAAATAGACAACCAATAAACCCAAGAGTATGAATCTCAGACCCAGAGATGGAGGCCCCAGACTCAGGATGATGACAGGATGGATCCCCAGGTGTCATCTCCATCAGGACCACAAACCTTCCATGACTGTCAGAAGAGACAAATAACCTTCCCTCTTGAGTGAAGACACTCTGGGTGCCTTTGCTACAGAAATTTAGTCTGTACCTGGCTACACATAGTAAGTCACAATATTCACCATAACATTCTTTTAAGAAGATACCTTTCATTGTACTGATGGAAAAAATAGGATGATCTTGCCTTAGGGAATTCAATTTTTCTGTCGCAAAACAACCTGTTATCAAAGTCAAACTATTGTTGAGCACCTGCTATGTGCAAGGCATGAGTGTAAACCTTAGGGTTAAAAAGCTGTATAAGATGCAGCCTCCTGACCTCTAAAGCTTCCGATTTAGTTGAGAGGCAGAGCAACTAGAAAACTGAGGAGACAAACAATAGTGTTCAGCGAACACATGACATGGTCCAAACTTGGTGGTACCAGAAACAGACATTCATGCATGTAGATTCATCTGATCCATCATATCTAGCCTTTACTTACTGATGAAAATATAGAACTCCGAGTCATCTCTAAAAAGCAAAGAAATTTAAGTTATTATTTTGGGCTTTTCACCCACCCACCATGAATATTCCAAGTGAAATACAAATAAATAAAAATACTCTTCTTAGTTTCTGTTGCACTGCAAAATAATTCCTGCTAGACTTGAGCAAATCACCTGCTTTGCAATTAATGTTTATCCCTGGAGATTCAGAGTGCCAAGTATTTTGTAGACACTTGAGTGCTGTTGAAGAAGTAGCCTGCTGATACCAACAAATACAGATAATGAAATACACTTACAATGCAAATTAGGACTACCTTGAAATGCCATTTTGATTAGCAAAATAGAAACATGATTTGACAACACACTTTGGTAGCAGAGCTGTGCGTGCAGGAGTGCTGAGTCCCTTCAGTCATGTCCGACTCTTTGTGACCCTATAGACTGTAGCCCACAAGTTCCTCTGTCCATGAGACTCTCCAGGCAAGAATACTGGAGTGGGTTGCCATGTCCTCCTCCAGGGGATCTTCCTGACCCAGGGGTAGAACCTGTGGCTCCTGTATTGCAGGTGGACTCTTTACCACTGAGCCACAGGGGAAACCCCACAGAGCTGTAGAGAAGCATAACTGGTAGGAGTGTAAAATGATACAATTCCTATAGGGGAGAATTTGGCTAAATTACAGAAATTTGTCCATTGACACTGAAATCCTACTTCTGAGACTCTACAATGAAGTTGAGTCTATACCTGCACAAACATAAAACCACTTGTGGAAGCTTACTCCTTTGGCATTATTTGCAATAATCAATATAGTAGGTTGAACAGATATGTCCCTGTCCTAATTCCCCAGAACCTGTGGTTGTGACTTTTTGGAAAAACAATCCTTGAATATGGTAGTCAGGTTAAGGATCTCAAGGTAAAATCATCTTGGATTACCTGGGAGGGCCCTGACTCTGGTGAGTGTCCTTGTAAGACATGGGAGACTTTGTAAGTACACAAAGAAGGTGAAACAGAGGCAGATTGGCCTCATGAGACCACAAGCCAAGTGACCCCTGCAGTCACCAGAAGCCAGGAGCCAGGAAGGAGTCTCCCTGGGGGTCTTCCAAAGGGAGACTGACCCTGACCTTGATTCCAGACTTCTGGATTCCAGAATTGGGTAAAAATTAATTTCTGTAAATGCACACACACCTGAACCCAGTCCATTCACATAAGACAGTGCTGTGCAACCATAAGAAATAATGAAAAAATTTCCTATGTTCTCATTTTGTTTCATTCATTCACTCACTCATTCATTAATATCTCAGCATAATTAGGGAATGTTGTTCAGTAGGATGGTTTTGCTTTAATGAACATTAACCCATATTTTAAAATTCTAGGCTTCTTTTCTCAGAAATCTTTCTAAAATATACCTCAGGCTTCCCCATCTTCCATTTTATTGAGTTATAATTAGCACACAATATTATATTAGTTTCAGGTGTATAACATAGTAATTCAATATTTTTATGCATTATAAAATGATCACCATGATAAGCCTAGTCACCATCTGTCATCAGACATAGTATTTCCAATATTACTGGCTGTATTCTCTATGCTGTATGTTAATCCCCGTCTTCTTAAACAAACTATTCATTGTTTCTGAAACCATGATTTATTTCCCCCCAAACTCTGTAGACCCCTGCATCTCCTCCTAAATTGGCATTGCTACTAGCAACAAAGGAGAAACACCCCATAGACTTTCCGTATCTAATTTTGACCACATCTTGCCCCTAAACTGACTCATGGCTATCAGAGACAATTTGTGTTCATCTTCTTAACTTCCACAGTTGGAATCATTCCAGATACTTAGACTTGCCAGCTCTGTGGTTTCCAGGTAACCAACTTGTTAATGTATTTTATTTCCAAATTTTTCTTTCATCAGAATTTTTCAGATTGGAAGAATTTTTTTTAGATTGACTAAAATACCTCAAGCCTGAATGTTAATCCTAATTGTCATGACTGTTATGTTAATTTTAATATCAGGAAAAATTCAACTTTTATCCACAAATATTCCTGTCAGATAAATTCATTGTACCTTTCCTCTGGATTACAGTTCATTGGGTCAGACGTACTGTGAATCTTCATTTGGGTGTTATTGCTACAAACAGTCTCCCCAGGTTGTCTGTTTTTTGTTAATCATGGAACTCTTTGCACTCTTATCTTCTTAAAAAAGATACAATATAATAAATTCAAGTTTTTTTCTTGCATCAGCTTTCACCCTAAAATACTGACTTAACATCATTTAATATGTATCTTGTACTCCTGAGAATCTACACCTAAAATTCCCAAAAAAGAACGGCTGACAACCCTTCATAAGAATGAAATGCAATGCCCAATGCTTAAGAAACAAGAAACCCAATATCTGTTTTCCAGATGATATATTACTGTATACCCTAAAAACATACATTATTTTCTCCTCCAAAAATATTTCCTATTAGTTTCTTTTCTTTCCAAATCTCTGTCAAGAAAGGAGATTTAATACTTAACTATAAACTTGACTATAAATCATTTTATATGAGAAGTTTAATTCACAAAAGGCTCAAAAAAGTTTTTGAAAATGTTCTATTCATTTTGATATGTCTGATAGATGCCTGATAACAGAGTGATGCCCA